TTTTATAAGTATTTTCCATTAAGTATTGCAAGATAACAAAAGAAAAAGTATAATTATCTTTATTAATATGCAATATTTTTGATAATAATATACTAAAAATAAAACTAGTTGTCTTATTATCTAGTTAAATAACTTTTTGAAACTTCTAACTATTAAAAATTTATTACTAATTGCTGGAAAAATTGATTATTTGATATAAATAATTAAATTATTTTTATATTTTATAATATATATAATTATATATTTTTCTATATTCATAATATATTTGCTTGGTTTTATTTTAATATATATATATTTGATAAGTTTTCTTCTTATAATTAATAATAATATTTAGTTTGAAAAAACTATAATACTTATTTGATTTTAATTTAATCAAAATTTTTTAAAATAATATTATTCCATTTTCAACTATATATAAAAGTTTTATTTAACAACAAATTTATTGTACATGATATTTAGTACATCCTTTTCTAATACTCTCAATCTATATATTTATAACATAGCAAGATTATTTTAATTAAAGTAGTGATTGAACCCGTTAAATCCGGGTTAGCATTAAAATTATGTGATTGGTTGGTTTATTGTCAGTAGTGATTGGACCCATTTAAAAAAATGTGATCCGGGTTGATTAAAAATTTACGCATCCTCATTGGTTTGTTTTTCGGATAGATGATCGGATGGACTACGCTTTAACTGATCCCCCAATGAGATTCCCATGAACGAAGTCACAGGTTATGACTAGTTACTTAATAATTATCTTCGATCTTAATGCGCGTGACCATTACTAATAATTATTTCATCCATGATTTTTGCCATGATCGTGACCGTATAACACGTATTTCATTGAGTCGATTCCATATGACATAGTAAATGAATCAATCAACGGGTTAACCGACAAGTTTGACCCGTGGGTTGACCCACCCACATTCACCGGATATCCGACTCATCCGGGTCGACCCGGGTGTACCCGACCCGGTTCCAAAACCGATCATTACATGTGATTTTTGTGGATCATATGGTGCATAACATCTAAAGTCATCAAACGTTTGTGTTTATAAAATAGATAAACTTCTTTACTAAGAAGTAAATACAAAATTCAATCCGAGAATATGATAGAATAGTCTCTTTTTGAACATATTCACGGATTAAATTTTGTATTTATTTCTTAGTGAAGAAGTTTATCCATTTTATAAAACACAAACGTTTGATGACTTTAGATGTTATGCACCATATTTACGCGTGACCGGTATGATCGACGTGACCCATCGCACTGGTCCGAAAAGATCACATGAATCAGCACCGTCCGTAGACTTCCCGTAACGTTAACCACACAAAATTCTCGTGATTTACTAGCTCAGATTACGAACTGCGTATACTGTAAACAATCTCTTCTCTCATTGCTCAAATACAATGACCATCACTGAAGGTTTGTATGGCACGTATTAGTTTCGATCTAATCAAGTGCACTAACGACTAGCTCTGCTATGACTTAGACGTAGCTATGGTTTGCCTCAGCAAAGACATGGGTTATCTATAAACGACTAACTCTTATTTCAAATAATATCACTTTAGAACAAGCCCGGCCAGGCGGTGAGATGGCTTTGTCAAAGGAATTAAAAAAGGTGTTTAAAAGTTTGGACTCAGAACAACGGAAAATATATAATGCTATGCCTATAAATAATTCGAAAGTTTTATTTTTGCAAGGGATTTTGAAGGAAAGGGTATTGTAGACGATGATATTTACTAGATTCTCCCACTAATATTGTATTAGCTTTTTCGTCGATATTTTCTTAAATAATTAGGACTTTATCAGTTTAATCGTCCTTACTCTTGTTATACTTGTTACTGCTGGGATTATTAATATTGCGAATAAAATATATATTGAAAACGAAGAATTGACCAAAACGTTCGTAATTACACTAAGAGGAACATTATATTAGAATGATCTTTACCAGGACGACCTCCTAAAGTACGGATCACGTGATAATTTTTGATGACGTTAACGATGCGAAAAGGAGTACCCTAGCCATGACGAAAAAAGTGTTCAGATCACGTGGTAACCAATAAGAATCGTGAATTTTTTATCTGCTGGTGACACAAAGACACAAACCAATAAAAATGCGTAAATTTTTGATCAGTTCGACAAAACAAATCCGACACAAGAAAATGAAAAAGCAAAAAAAGTAAAAAATACGGGAAACAGATGCCTAAATCTAGCTTGATAGACTAATCAAAAATGTCGGGAAGGCAATTTTATATATAAGTTTGACTCCAGATCTATCCCTACCCTAATTTTTGACAATAATCTCTATTATCATAGAATTTTTCCGAATATACCCGAATATCACATGATCTGAACACTTTTTTTGCCATAGCTAGGGTACTCGCGAAAAGGGTTAGGTCTGGATTTGGATCAAGGTTATTTGGCAAACAAAAAATATACTTATAGTAAACTTTCGTAAAATATGTTAAAAATTATCTAGTAACAAAATGAAGACCAAGAAAAATGGCTGATCATGTGATTCCGGTCCCGATACCGACCATCCGATTTACCCCTTAAATTATAATGCATAATATTAAATAGGGTAATGTTAGGGTTAGAGTTAAGGTTATCGTTATTGTGTAGTAGGCGAGAGTATGATATATAGTAAAATTTCGCAAGAAATATTTTTATAGTTTCATAGGCAAAATTTTAAGATACAAGCTATTTTTGAATTTTTGCGTTGCACATTGATCTTGCGATTTGATTGGTGCATAATTTTAAGGGGTAGATCGGATGGTCGGTATCGGGATCAGAATCACATGATCTGCAATTTTTCTTGGTCTTCACTTGTTACTAAAAATTATCACGTGGCCCGCAAATGCGTAAGTACCCTAGCCATGGTGAAAAGTTACGAGTCACGTGCCGCCAATAAGAATGCGTGAATTTTTGATCTACTAGTGACACAAAAATGCATAAATTTTTTATCAGCCCGGCAAAACAAATCCGACACAAAAAAATGAAAAAAGCAAAAAATGTAAAAAATACGGGAAACAGATGCCTAAATCTAGTTTGATAGACTAACAAAAAATGTCGGGAAGGCAATTTTATATATAAATTTGATCACAGATCTAACCTTAACCCTAACCTTTAAATTAACCTTTAATAATAATCTCTATTATCGTAGAATTTTTCCGGACATACCGGATATCACATGACCCGTGGTCGCCCTGGTGGAGTCGTCTAAATCTACTAATAAAAAATGTCGAATAGGTAATTTTACACATGACCTTAACGCCCTAAGGGCAGTGACATGTATTAACTAATATTTTAGGGGGTAGGGATAGAGTTTGATCTTAAGTAATACAAAATTAAGCGTTTTGATTGAACAAAAGATCTTATCTGAGGTGGGGGAGGAGACATCTCTATAAAAATAATATTAGCTAATTTATGTCAGCACCCTAACCTTAAAACGTTAATTAACATTACCGTAGGATTTTCCGAAATCGACCAAACCAAAAGCGGTAACGATCATTAGGGGATGTAGAAGCTATTTTTCAAAATTCGCCCGAAACGCTATACCTTATACTCTTAAGTATTGATTCAGAGTATAGTCGTACCTACTCAGCAGCCGTACCGTACTGAATCTGTGTACATACACTCTGTTAGTATGACGAAACTATTTTATCCAAACAATGACAACTTTTTGCTCTCATTGACCCGACATGAATTTAGATCGCCTTCTAGATCCAGTTATACCGTCGTTCATTTTCTTATACGAGTTTCACAAATTCGGAAATTTAATACTTGTTTTTTTTCCTGATGGATTCAGCATTTGTGTCATGAACAAAAGCATTTAATAGGTAATGATGATATCATATTAACTGGGGGGTGTTGAGCGCCACTATAGGTTCGAAAAAATGTATCAATTGTAATACTGGCCAAATTTCTGGCATGATCCACATCGTCTAACTTCCATAAGGTTAATGTGCAAATAACAAACAAAACCTTTAAGTTGGCTCATTCTATAACTCTAGGCGGGAAGAAGGGCTATGGTGGCTAAGAGAGTCCATTCGTCGGGCTTCTGGAAAAAAAGTATGGCTTTGTAGTTAAAAAAGTCAATAACAATTAAGCATATTGAAATTATGCCAAATTTCTTTTCCTATACATGCATAAATAAAAAAACAACATAAGTACACTCATCAAATAAATAAATAAATGTGAGAGTGATGCCGAGCCACCCACAACTATTCGGATCTTTGAAAAGAACTATTTCCCCTGACCACACAAAAACATCACTGCATCTTATATAAAAACTCAAAAAATTATAAACGTAGACAACTGAAACATTTTGTCTATTATTTAATTTTAATTTTAATATTAACACGACCAATAAATAATTTCGATCTTTGCTGCTGCTTCTTACTGCAGTTGTACACAATAACGATAAAGTAAGAAATGTTGGTGCATTGCATTTATAATTTATCCACGTTGTTTTTTGCTGCATTATTAGCGAATCTTTTTACTCGCTTTTTTTCGGTTATCCATAGACTCGGGTTTATCTGGTAACATATGCATGTATATCTTTTTGTTTGATAATTGTAAATAACAACCGCTTTCCTATTATTATTATTTATTATTTATTTTATTTAAAAGTCGTTTTTAGAATTCCAGTTTCGCGTATTTGATATATAGAATACTGATTAACTTTCCTTCATTATTTCCAAACAAAATCCTTTCGCTTACTGTTTTTCTTCCCTATGCTTGATTTGATCAACCCCCTTTTTTACCTATATAGTCGACTCAATTAAGAAGCGGGCTCTTTCTCTCCATTTGCATGGCAAATACACTAAACTATAGACAAACTAGACAAAAACTCTTCTTTTTTTCTTTATCTTATTATAATATATATTAATCAGAAATTTTTTCATTACACTACTCATCGTCTTTAGAACGAGAGAGAAAGTGTGAGAGTCCGTCAGTGTAGTGAGCGCGTGAAAGACTGTGGATAATATAACAAATGAGCTTCTTAACGCGTCTGCTAGCGCGCAACAATTCACGAGAAAATGTTTCAGAGGAGCAGACTCGAAAACTTTCTGCCGCATCAACATATATGCTACCAAAACGTCGCATATATGTCAACACACCCTTACCCTCAAATGAACTAGATCAAAACGGCGAGCCGCAAGTGGTCTACGTGCCAAACAAAATCCGGACTGCGAAATACACTCTGTTCACATTCCTGCCGAAAAATTTATTCGAACAATTTCGTAGAGTGGCAAATTTGTATTTCTTGTTCTTGGTGATATTACAGTGTGTGCCAATATTTGGTGGTGAGAATCCGGTGTTTTTTGTAGTTTCCCCGTTGTTGTCGATCATCATAGTCACAGCGTTTAGAGATGCTTTTGAAGATTATAAGCGGAGAACTCAGGATAATTTGTTGAATCGGTCGATTACACTGAGGTTGACTGGATGGCGTAATGTGAATTTTTGTGCAGCTGATGGCACTCGTAAAAAATATTTGAAAAGGATTTTTAGTAGTTTGTTGAATTTCTTGGGTTATAGGGTTGGAGGAAATGGAGGAGATAATAAAACTCAAGGCAAGGGACCAAATAATAATATACCAACAATCATAATAAGTGAAAATAATGCACGATGGACCAAAAGCCGTTGGCAAGATGTAAGAGTGGGCGACCTCGTAAAACTAAAGAACGACGAAGCAGTTCCAGCCGACATGATAATTCTTTCAACAAGTGAACCAGACGGCCTCTGCTATGTCGAAACAAAAAATCTGGACGGAGAAACCAATCTTAAAGTTCGGCATGCTATCTCGTCGACTTCATATATAATTTCAGAGAGTGATTGTGAAAACGCGAATTTCTATGTGGAGTCTGAGCCACCACACACAAATCTCTATTCATATACAGGAGTGTTGCATTTTCTCTCGGGTAATAATAGCAACACTATTAGTAGTGATAATAATTCGACTAGTGAACAAAAAGTTGAACCTGTGTCTATTAATGATGTGCTTTTGCGGGGATGTATCTTGAGAAATACTGAGTGGGTGATTGGATTGGTGATGTTTACTGGCACTGATACAAAAATTATCCTGAATTCTGGAGATACACCGAGTAAACGAAGTCGAATTGAAGTTGAAACAAATTTTCATGTTTGTATTTTTTTTATTATTATCAAGCATTGTAAATATTTAAGTATTATCAATATCAAACAAAATATTTATTTTAAAAATCAATTCGGATTATTTGATTCAATGATGATAATCGATTAGGTTTCCATGAACTTTATAATTTTATTCTTCATCTGCTTGGGCTCCTCGATTGCCGACGGATTCTACGTATCACAAGCATCGAGTTCCGCCGATTTTTTCGAAGACGACGGAGACGATGATACCGGATCATCATTGTTAAGTGGTCTCTTGACCTTTTGGTAGGTTTTTTTAAAAAATATTTTATCTTGAAGAATGAAGAATATATGATAATCTGCATATACATCTCGATTGTCATCTCAAAATCTACAACTATTATAATACATGAATTTATTTAGGATATGCTTAATTATTTTTCAAAATATCGTGCCTATTTCGTTATACATCACTATTGAAATGGTCAAAACCGTTCAGGTAATTATTTTTTCTTCTATATTTTACAATGTTATAAATTAAGATTAATTTGACGTGTTTTTGGTAATAGGCGTATTTCATTCACTCTGATGTTGATCTGTACTATGAGAAACTTGATTACCCATGTACTCCAAAAACCTGGAACATTTCCGATGACCTTGGCCAAATTGAATACATCTTCTCAGACAAGACAGGTACACTAACACAGAACGTGATGGAATTCAAGAAATGTACGATCAACGGAGTGTCATACGGTAAAGGTGAAACAGACACAACTCGTGGCTCGAAACTACAACAGAAACTTGATGGCGAAAAGGAATTTGACTCAGAAGACGATCTAAATAAACATCTTGAAAGAGAAAAACAATTAATGTTGGATGAGATGAGCAAACTATTCGACAATCGCTACGTCTCGTCAAACGTCACATTCATTGATTCAAAACTATTTCATGATCTAAAACTAGAGAACCAACAATCGCGTGCAATCCACGACTTCTTTTCCGCGCTTGCTCTTTGTCATACCGTTCTTGCAGATCGGCCTGATCCAAATAATTCATTCCTGATTGATTATAAGGCTCAGTCGCCGGATGAGTCTGCTCTGGTGGGTGCGGCTCGTGATGTTGGGTTCGTGTTTGTTGATCGACATCAAGAAACATTGGTGATTGAGGTGATGGGTGAACAAAAGGAATTCACGCTGTTGAATGTGCTTGAGTTTAATAGTACACGGAAGCGTATGTCTGTGATTGTTAGGCCACCAGAAGGTGGTGTGATTTTGATTTGTAAAGGTGCTGATAGTATTATTTATGAGAGATTAGAGGGAGAACGGGATGCAAAATTAAAAGAAACTACATTAGCAGATTTAGAAGTTTTTGCCAATGAAGGTATTATTAAACTTTATATTTATGTATAACTATATATATGAATAATATGAATACTAATCTTAATCTTTCCGTTATAATTAATTAAAAAGGACTTCGAACACTGTGTATTGCATATCGAGTAATATCCGATGAAGAATACAACACCTGGGCACAAAAATACGCCGAAGCCTCATCCAGTATAAACGACCGTGAAGAAAAAATCGCCGAAACATGTGAACTAATCGAACATTCACTCACTCTAATGGGCGGCACTGCAATCGAAGATCGTCTTCAAGAAGGTGTTCCCGAATGTATTGCAACCCTCGCACAAGCCGGAATAAAACTATGGGTTCTAACCGGCGACAAAACCGAAACAGCGATAAATATAGGATTCGCGTGTAATCTCTTGCAAAAAGACATGCAACTTATCATTGTTAATGCGTCTGATAAACAAAATACTGCTAGTCAATTACGCGAAGCATTGGACACAGTGCTTGGTCCGCAGTCAAAGAAAACACATGATCGCCACGCGTTGGTGATTGATGGGCAGACGTTAAAACATGCACTTAGTCCGGAGGTTAAAGAGTTATTCCTAGATGTGGGCAAACAGTGTCAGTCGGTGGTTTGTTGTCGTGTGAGTCCGTTGCAGAAGGCAAAGGTTGTTGAGTTGGTAAAAAATGGTTTGAATGTTATGACTTTGTCGATTGGAGATGGTGATTATATTTTGCTATTTTCTTGACGATTTTGGATTATGTGATTTCCTTATTATGGTTATTTAATAATTCGTGATGCCCATGTTGAATTGAATTTTTAGGTGCTAACGACGTTAGTATGATTCAAGAAGCAAACATCGGTGTCGGCATCGCTGGAGAAGAAGGTCGACAAGCAGCAATGGCCGCCGATTACGCGGTTGCTCAATTTCGATACCTGACAAAACTTTTGTTGGTTCATGGTCGTTGGTCGTATCTTCGTATTGCGGAAATGATTTCATGTTTCTTTTACAAGAATATCGTGTGGACTTTTGCCATGTTTTGGTTTCAATTTTATGCTGGGTGTGTATACTTTTATTTTACTGCGATTTGATATAAATATAACAATTTTATTTTTGAAGTCTAATTGTTTTCGAATCATTTGACATTTTAAATTTAGATTTACCGCTACATATCTTTACGATTACTCGTTTATTACGTTCTACAATCTTGTATTTACTGCATTCCCTGTCATGTTTCTTGGTATGTTAATTATTTCTCGTCATTTTGGCAAAATACGAAATAATTAATTCTTTTATTTTATTTTATTTTATTCAAAAGGTGCTTTCGATCAAGACGTTGACGCAAAAACATCGCTAAAATATCCACCACTATACAAACGCGGTATCCTTCAACAAGACTTTACAAAATCCAAGTTCTGGCTATACGTGCTAGACGCAATCTACCAATCCGTCATCTGTTTTTTCATCCCATTCGCCACAATGCATTATGGCTCATCACACGCCAACGGACTCGACAACAACGGACTGCAACAACTGGGGACGTTAATCGCCGGTACGGTTGTCGTAACCGTGAACCTTTATGTCGGACTGAATATCTTGAGTTGGACGTGGATGATGTTTGTGGTCATTGGACTCAGTATCTTATCGTTTTATGCTTGGGCGGAGTTTTACTCGCTGTTTGTGTCGTTTGCGTTCTTTCGTGTGGATCAGTTTCTGTACACAGAGGTGGATTTTTGGCTTACGATATCGTTGGCGGTGCTTCTCAGTATTTTACCGAGATTCACTATAAAGTACTTGCATAAGACGTACTGGCCGATTGACGTTGATATTGTACGCGAGCAAGTCTATCGATTAAAGAAACCAAAACATCGTAAAAAACAAGGAAGATCGCGCGAGATTCCCGAAGAAGATCAAATCCCAATAGCACCAAGAAAGACTGACGATTCAAGTGGTACACAACACGAGTATCCAGATAGTGACTCTGAACAAGAAATGCCAGCACCACCATCACCAAAATTAGAACCCACAACACCATCAACTTTCGCACGAACAGTGTCTCTCCGATCCGAAGACCAATTGCTTTTCATGGATTCCGGAAAACGACAATCGTTCACCGGGTTCGCCTTCTCCGGCGAAGAAAGTGGATTCGAGTCGTTCCGGCGTTCGATATATCGGCCTGTACAGAATCGTTTGGACCTTCACCGCGCTCAAAGTCTGGCCACTTCAACCCCACGAAGAAATAATAATATATTTTCGTCGACTTTGTCGCCTATTAATCGTAGTAGAACGCTGCCAAGTACTTTGTTCCGTCGTCGTGATCCGTCACCACTTAGTCTGTCGCCGAACAATCCTTCTAGTAGTGATACAGAAAATAATGGTGGCGCTGGTGGGCGACGACAGAGGAGTACAGGTGGTGAAGAAGTAGAACTTTCTGTAATATCACCTTCTAATAATAATAGTGATGATAATAATAGTAATTAATTAATTATTTAATTTGTAATTGATTTCATTCTTTCCATTAATTCTTTCATCATAACACAAACATTGAAACGGGAGATATCGACGATTTTGTTATTTATTTTCTCATTTTATTTCAAAGACATTTAACCACCTTGTATTATCACTATCATCATTCAGACCACCAGAAATTTTGTAAAATATGTCATCCTTGTCACCTTTATTTATTTATTGATTACTTGTTATTTAAACTATATACGCACATCTCATTCACATTCATTAGACCAACCAGAAGAATAGAAATGCTAATGTCTAATTATCTTATTGTTTAGAATTCGTGGGCTAGTATGTGAGATATCTGCATTATGATTATTATTATTATTATTATGTCCGTCGAATCAGGATGATGAAGGATAATAAGGATTAAAGATTTGTTCATTTCTCCCTGTTGAAAAGCAAGTAGCGGAATCATCAAAGTGCACAATTAACTATAGATTTCCTCATTAGAATATTTCCATGATGTAGCAAACTTGCCGTAGTAATAATTAATACTCAAAAATAAGTAATCACGTGAAGTAAAAAGTAAAAACTTGTGAGTCTGGTTTTCATTCGTGTGATTTAGTTGTATTTTACAGAAAACAAAGGAAATACCTTCTCACATTGTTTTCTTATATTACCGGTCGATTAGTAGTACTATTTTGTAGATTATCGTTGTCTGTTCGCGATGTTCCTTCTGCTGGTTCTACTATCTCGCCAGCTTCTTGTTGGTGTTGCGCCGCGGCGGCAGCAGCAGTAACAAGCGAGTACACCGAAGCTTTAAACAGTGTGTAGACAACACCCATTTTTTTCTCAAGTGAGCGGAGTTTCTCGTTTAGTATTGGGACGTCAGCCGTGTTCATTGTGGTGACGAGATCTTTCATCTTTTTTTCAGTTTCAATTTCAATGATAAGTAAAAATAGCGAGCAAAGCATTTAGGCCTCAGTTGACTTTTTACCTGCTCAACATTGGCAGCAAGTTTCTCGTATTCGAAAAGCACATCATGCTCAATTTTGCTAAAGAGCACTGTGTGGTGTTGTTGAGTAGAAAGGTGAGTCATTATTCTTTTTGTCTCTTCTTTTGTGTTTACGTATATTGGCATATACGTGAATGTGGCGTAGATGTTAATCGGGCGTAGGAACTTGCTGTGCCTGGTTATAAAAGTAAACAAGATATGATTTGCTCAGGCGCGTTACGTCAAGAGTTTACTGAGGAATCGACAATAACTGCAACAATATCGTTTAGTGTGCCGCAGTTTCCCTCGAAAAAAAAAAACTCGCTGAAGTGACGACATGGATATAAATAATAAAAAAATTACTAAAAGTGAAGCTTCCGAAAACCAAAAGTACCACCACTACCAGTACCGACTTCCCAAGGGTGAGCCACCTGACGTCATCGTTCCCATTCCTATTAGACCTGGTGGTAGTAACGCAAGTCAACAACAAATACTTCAGCTACATTCCGTTCACATGCCACGACAATTCACTTTTTCCGAGTTTAAGAGGAAGAAGAGCACACAGGCTCATCAATCCACTGCTCTTTCAGAGTTGTTACAGTATAAAGATTCGGAAGAAGAGAAAGAGGGGGAGGGGAAGGACGAGACTCGAGCCATAAGTACTATTATTAATAATACGGAAACAAACCCGGAAATGATTAAAGAGGATACTGTTTCTCCAATCACAAACACCGAACGAGTCCCCGTTATAAAAAACGAATCGGCTAAAGATGATAGTAACAATAATGACAATAAAGTGGGTCATAAAAGTATTTTTAATACCAAAAACGCAATGGAGCTTGCATTGCGAATTGCCAATCAATTTGTTATGGATGGTTCAAAAGAGGTTGATGTTGATAGATCCTCGTCTAATAATTCTATACTTAATAATAATGACAATAATCCTAACAATAAAGATAATAAGATGGATAATATAAAAGGAAAAGATTTGAATATAATTTCTGAACTTAATAATAAAAAACGTTCCAGATCTTTTATTATAAATTGTGATGTTGATAATGATCAGACCACCAGTGCACAGAAACAGGCGAAATTGGATCTTGAAAGCTTTCTTGCTGATCAAGCTCTTCAATCAAAGATTGTCACTTATCCTAATATTAGAATTGCTAGTAATGATAATAGTAATGATGATGGTGATGATGATGCCGATGATGATGCCGATGATAATGATAATGATAACAGCAACAATAATAATAATAATAATAATAATAATAATTGTATTAGTATCAATGATACAGGCAATAAAACATCACCAACAACATCAAAAAATCAAAAAACATTTGCATGTCCAAACTGTAATCGCCAATTCAATCGTAAATTCAACATGCAATCACATTTACAGACTCACAACCCAAACCGTACAAAGCCTTTTCGCTGTGAAGTAGAAGGATGCATGAGCACATTCACCCGGAAACACGATCTGAAACGACACGTAAATGGAATTCATAAATGTGAAAAGTTGTATCAGTGTCCGGCGTGTTTGAGGAATTTCTCGAGAAAGGATGCGTGGAAAAGGCATTCAGTTGGTTGTGCGCCGCCGACTGTTGAGACAAAGAATGTGCAGCCTATCGAGGTCGAATTACGGAGGAAGATCGTAGAATTAATTAATTGAGAATCTGATATTTCATAAATATTATGGTATTGTACAAACAAACACGTTAAGAGATTTTATATTTGCAAAGATAACTAATGAAATTATTTTATGATCGTATATAGCATATACAATAATATGCTCTATGCTTTATTCATTATTCGAGATATTTATTAAAAATCTTCGGTGAATTATTAATTGATGTTTCTTTTTTTTAAAAATGTCTGTATATTGTTAAATAAAATAAATTTTTGTTGATTAAGATTTTTCTAAATATTTATTATTATTGTGTTGTCTGAAGATTTTTCAATTTTTTGCGTCCTTTTTCATCATGATATAGAAAAAATTATTAAATAATAAAAAAAATAGTAGAGACTAACCAATACAGGCTCCATGGTCTAGTAGTATGATTCTCGCTTTGGGTGCGAGAGGTCGCGGGTTCAATTCCCGCTGGAGCCCGTGTATATTTTTTTGAATTCTACGTATTCTGATTGTTATTACGTAGAAAACGACATCGTTTTTGCAGAGTAATGGGATCAACAGCAATGAAAATGAAAAATTAAAATACCTTAGTTATTGCCACCGGATGATCGTATCTAATAAATATTTTTTGCAGATTTAAAACTTAACAATGGGTCGGGTATATTAGTAAACTTTGAAAATTTTGCTATCTCAAAAGATTTGTTAAATTGAGTCTGATTCTTCTTACAATAGGGAGCGAACAATCGACCCTTCTAACTTATCAGAAATCATTAGCTGAAAGTTTCACAACACAAATATAGGACAAATGATGTCTCATACAATTACCGTGAAATGCTCTTTAAAGTACCCTCCTCGTTTTCAAAATATCATATCCAGGTGCTTTAAACAAAATATGCTTGCAGTATTTACTTGATATGTATAAGTCTTATTCAACGTCACTAATTTTATTCCCTTTCCATGTAAAATTAGAGTAGAATGTAAATATCAAGTTGAATAAACAGCATTCACTTATAAGTAAATACATGTATTTTATAATTCAATATGTATTTCACATACATGAATAATTAAAGTATATGCTTATAAATGGATATACATTTTTTGCTCTTTGATCTGTCAACACCAAACTATATTTTGAAGTGAATTTTAAAAAAACTGCAAATCTGATAGAGAAGTGACACAAACTATAAATTTATATCAATTCTTTATCGTTATGCTGCAAAAGTTTCATGCATTGAATTTACATACAGTAAGTAAAGAGGGATTGACTACTCTGATATTAATTCGACTATGGACTAGCATGCACGAAAGCGCTAATCCAAGTTATTTGACGTGAATTCGCTAATCGAGCCGGCAATTATAGCACCGTAATTGTGCTGCTTCAGAATGATATTGGTATCAAGATGATTTCCGCATAACTTTTTGTTGTCTGTGGCGGCAATTCAGGTTGAACCTGGTAAAATGTGTTTCGTGATTAAGAATGATTGAAATGGAGGAAAGAAGAAAGGTTGGTTTGTTAAAGATGGATGAACCGATTGCACAGTAGATGATACAAACTCGATGGTTTGGCTTATATTTGAATGCATCATGGAGTGCTACAACAACCCGATATAACAAATCTCTAATGTCAGGCATAATAAAGTACTAAGCTACAAAATTTATATATACAATACAATCTCGAGATAACGGCAGACTTGAAATTAGAGTAGGATATTAACAGGTGAATTATGATATTTATCACCACGATTTTCCAATAGATTTTTGCATACATTCTTTGAATGCTTGAAATTCTGGCAGGCAGATATCTTTACGAGCATTGTCGAGTTGATTTGTTATACATTTTGCGTAAATTGTTGCCTGTTTTTTTTTTTGAATTCAGATAAATACAATGATAACAAGTAGTAGTTGCATAAAAGAAAAATTTTACCTGAGAAGAACATTGTACAAAAGATTTGACAAATACTGATATTGTCTTTTTTTCTTTTTTCATATTTGGAGTGTTTTCCTAAAATAGATTTATGCATGTTTTAAATTCTGTTATTTTGTGGATCACGTTTTTTTTTTACATAACTAATATTTCAAGAGAGCTCAATATAATAAAAAGACAATTGAGTGAATCCTAAAATAGCTGAAGTGACGAAGACTCACAATTTTATCTTGGAATGAGATATTTACTCGGTAAAGGGGAAACGGTTATCGCAAAAATAGCCTTTGGCGTTTTTTAAAGAGGGAAAGGCGTTTATGTGGTATCGTAATCCGCTGAAAGATGAATACAAATGCACATTACTTATAAATACAATATATAAATACTGTAAAGTTAAAAGACAAAAAATTCATTATTCTATTTGCTTTTAAATTAATTTTATTGACTAAAATAGCTAGCATTTTTATATAATTTCTTGTCTTAATTGCAAAGTTATTGTATTTTTATTTTATCTTAATTGTAAAGTTATATTTCTTGTATTTGATTTCTCATCTTAATTGTAAAATTATAATTATTTTGACTAATTTAATAAATAATTAATTAATATCTTATTCATTTATAAATCATATTTGAAAATATAACATATTTATAAAAAATTTTTGGTTTTATTCTAGTTGATTACAAAATAAATATATATTATTTATCTTTAAAATTATATTAACTCTCTTACTTAAAGTTTGTATTAGTTATATTCTTTTTCCTATCTAATTCAATATTATGTCTTTTACATATTGTTATAACTAAAATATTTTATAGTATAGTTATTTTAATGATAATTAATTACTTTTATTTTATTTAACAATTTTAATAATTCAATTTATTGGATAAATTTGAAATTATATAATTTTCATACATATATGATTTAAGCATGTAATTTTTATATATGATCTATCATTTATTATTATAATATTTAATAAATTTTTATAATTTCTTATATAATTCTTATAATTCTTATAATTTTCATAATTTTTATAATTTATATAATTTATTTTACTTTATATTTAAATATATAATTATTATATAAATTTAATTATTAAAATTTAAATATAAATATAGCTATTTTTGTAATTGTAAAAAAACAAGTTATTATAATTAGTTCAATTAATAACTTAAATAAAAATATTATAATATTATATTTGCAAAATTAATATCAAATATTCAAATTATTCTTTTATAATTATAAACATTTTGTAAAAATATTATTAAAATTGCTAATTAGATTTATAATATTTTTTAACTTAATTATATTTAAATTAATATATATTAATATTTATTATATATTTTATTATTTATTAACTAATAATTCATATTATAATTGAGTTTAGCTATTTTGATATAACAAATTTTATTTATTTATATATAAAAATTTACATATTTTTTATAATATATTTAAAAACTTAAAACCAAATAAAATAATAATAAAATTTGATATTTTTTAAAAATCCTAATAATTTAGTTTTTGATTTTATTCAGTTTTGATTTAATATAAAATTTATTAAGTAAATTATAATACATTTTTATTTTTTATTAGTATACAAGTTTATACAAGTCTATTTAATTTCAATTTTTAGAATTTTTATTAAAAAAATTATTAGTAAAATAATAACTAAATTTTTTATGAATAAAAAATCTTTTATAAATTAATAAAACAATAATTATCAGTAACAAAAATTTTCTAAATTATATCAAACTAAAAAGAATTATTTAATAAACAAATTTTCTATAAATAAATAATTCAAAATTAATAATTATTCTTAATTAAATCAAACTGAATTCAATATAATTAATTGTTTAAAGAATTACAAAATAAAACTGATTTAAAAAAAATTATCAAAAAATTCAAAAAAAATCAAAAAGCAACTAATTAAAATAATTAATAAAATAATTTGAAAAATTCAATCACTAAACTAGTAAATTATTAAAAAAATATTTTTATTAAAATAAATTAGAAATTAAAATGTATATATAATTTATAACAAAATATTACAAACTTTCTTGAATTAAAAAAAGTTTATTACTAATAACAAAAATATTAAGAACAAATAGCTAAATTTTAAAATTCAAAAAATCAAATTATAATTTAAAATAATTCACTATTATCAATTTAAAAGAAAATCAAAAAAATAACAAATAATTAATTATTTAATTAATTTAAATATTATTATTCAAGAAATAGTTATTATATTATTAGTAAAAGAAATAATATTTATAAAAATTGTTGATTTTTATATTAATTTTACTATTAATTGGAGTAATATTTCAATATAAATTATATATTATACAAGTTAAGACTGATAATATAATAAATATCACTTTTAGTTATAATTTTATTTTACATCAACAACTTGTCAATACACCTGTTAATACTGAATTATTTATTATTTATATTATTATTATATTATAAAAAAAGAACAACTCTTGTTATCAAAAGTTATTACTATTATTAATAAATATATAGATATCATTTCAAAAAAGTTACCAAAAGAATTATTATCAAAAAGAGTTATTAATCTTATTTCTGAATCAGAATCATCATGTTCTACCTATTGATTTTCTTTTATAAAAATAAATGAACTAAAGAAATAATTTTCAGAATTATTATAAAAAGAATATATTTATTATTATTTGATATATTTGTATTATTTGCATACAAGAAAAAATATACTATATTTTTGTATTAATTATTATACTCTTAACAAAATTATTATCAAAAATTAATATATATTATCATATATTAATAAATTAATGGATTATCTAACTGAATTACAATATTTTTTAAAATTAAATCTATATTTTGAATATTATCAAATTTGTATTAAAGAAATTAATATTCACAAAACAATATTTTATACTCACTATAATTATTATAAATTTCTTTTGATTTTACAAATATATTTATTACTTTTATAATATTAATGAATAATATTTTTTATAATTATTTGAACAAATTTATAATTATTTATTTAAATATTATTTTGATCTATAGTAAAATCAAGAAAGAATATATTTAATATCTTTAAATTATACTCAATATTCTTTACAAATCCAAACTTTATAT